GGTTGTTGACCCTTGACTTAAAAGCAAGTGAAGAAAGTATTACTGGAAGCTGAAGAAAAGAAGAATGCAATTAGGCAACCGTAGAAAGTTTAGCAGAGCCTCGTGGCGCAGCGGTTGAGCACTGGGCTGCAAGGCTGCCCGCAGCCTCTGCAGCGCCGGTTCGTTCCCTGGCTGCCAGCAAGGGTCTCACAAAAAAAAAAAAGAAAAAAAAGAAAGTTTAGCAAAGCTTTTGTCTGCAGTAATATGGAAAAAAGAAAATATAACTAATGAGTAAGGAGACTTCTAAGCATAATGTCAAAAAGAGTCAACTGGTTTTAGGTGTGTACAGAGAGAGATGAGAAAAAGAAGGAATTATGTAATTTTCAAACAGAAAGAACTATAAGGGAACCGGGACCTACTAGGTCCAAAATTAAAATGGTTTCTAATTCCAAGCCACTACATATAATAAGTGTTTCTCCAATTAAGAACTGCCCTCTGAGCAAACACCAAATCCAAGGCAGTGTCACAGAAACAAGATCTAAAGATTAAATCTCTGTACTGAGCAAAGGATGGCAAACTTTTTCTGTTAAGGGTCAGATAAGCATTTTGGGCTTTGAGGGCCATATAAAGTCTCTGTTAAAGATCCTTTATTATTTTTTTATAACCCTTTAAAAAACGTAAAAATGAATTTTAGTTCAATGGCAGTAGCTTCCCTACTCCAACTTTAGAATCCAAAGAGATTTAAGATGTTGCTTCATACATCCTTTCAAACAAAAGGCCTTGTAAAAATATTTTTTTTAAAGATTTATTTATTTATTTATACAAGCACTGGGTACAGTCACAAGCGCAGGAGGGTGAGAGAATTCACCAGAGCCAGAGCGGGGAACAGAACAGGCAGACTGACGAAATACACTGCTGAGGGGAACAGCAGGTGTGACAGGAGAGGTCTGCATGCCATGTGGGACCCTCGCTGGAGCGGATGGGGATCAAACCAGCGCTGCAGAGGCTGCAGGCAGCTTCGCAGCCCAGCGCTCAACCACTGCGCACCAGGGGAGGCCCCCTTGTAAAAATCTTAAAGGTGATGTCCCACAAAAGCCTTAAACATAGCTGATGGGGTTTAGGACATGCTATCCCAAAACATGACACCTTAGCATATTGAATATTGTATGCTGAAGGACCCTGAAAAAATGGGAGGAGCTAGAAGTCTAAGAGGAGTTGTGTGTCTCCTGGTTTGGTGGTGCAGTGAAGCATGCATGGCTCTTCTGCGCCCCCTGTGCCTACCATCCAACATGAGATGGACAATTTTGGTGCAGGTTGGGTATTCAGGCATTGGTGTGGTTTGGGTCTTTGTTTGTTTGTTTGTTTTTTTAAAGATTTATTTATTTATACAAGAACTGGGGTACAGGCCAGAGGCGCAGGAGGGTGAGAGGATTCACCTGAGACAGAGCAGGGAGCAGAAGGCCGACCGACTGAAAACACTGCTGAGGGGAGCAGTGGGCGAGACAGGAGAGGTCTGCCACACCGTATGGGTATCTCCTGGCTGGCCAGGAATCAAACTGGCCCTGCAGAGGCTGCGGACAGCTTCACAGTGTTGTGCTCAATCTGCTGCACCACCAGGGAGGCCCTGTGGTTTGGGTTTTGAAACCTGTGCCAGTTTTGAAAATGAGCCAATTGGGTTTCGTCAAACACTCTCTTCCGGGATAACCTTCACTTCTAATCTCTGGCCTGCAGCAGAACCAATCCTGCCTCTAAGAACAGACTAGGGCTGCCTGATCCTCCAACACTGCCTCCTGAGCCAAGTCACAGGCCTGAACCAACACCACCTCCAGAGATGTCTACAGTAGCTGTTGTCATCTCCAACACTGCCCAGCTTAGCCTCCGGATCACTGCTGCTGGCTGCTGCTCCCTCAGCAGCACCACCTGTGATTATCTCCAGCTGCCACTGTGCGCTGGATCCTGGTCAACCGCTTATCGGTGCTACCAGCTCCAAACTCCCATCAGAGGGACACCATCTTTCACAAGCACCTTTTGGTTTGGACTACTGGACACTGTAAATACTATCTGGGGTAGGACAGACAGCCATTTGTGGCCTCAGAAACACCTTTTTAAAAATCTTTCCCAATTTCTCCCTTGTAAATAAACCCCGTTATACACTGTGTCTGAGTCATGTCTTAAAATTATAAGCACATGGATGAGGATTCACAAATCATTACATTCCCCAAGTTTGCACAACTTCAGGTCAATCTGACCTTCCCCAATCCTTTTCCCCCAAAACAAGTCATAAAATTCTCATGTGACTGGTGCCTTCATTACACTGGCAAGAAAAGAGCATCTTCATTTCCAAAAACAGAGGGGCCCCGAAAAGAATCCTAACAAACAGGATTGCTAGGCAGGACAGTCACCCCACTTTATTACACGTACCTCATACGCTCTGACCTATCATAGTCCTCCATAACCACCCAAGTTTCATCAAACCTCACAAAATACTCAAGTCTGGTTCTTTTACATTTCCATCTGAAGGCTTGCATGTCATGTAAAATTTCTATTAAATAATTATGTCTGGGTGACTAAAAATTAGTGTTATGTATACAGACATAACTCCACTGCAACATAACACTAATTTTTAGTGTTTTAAAGTGGGTTATATCTGAAGTAGAATAATCACTACTAATACATAAAAACCACTATTTCTAAGGTCTCTTTATTTTTAAATGCCAATATCTAAGTCAGAGAAAATAAATATTTTCTATTTGAAGATACATAATTCAATGTGTTTTAAATCACTGGCAGAGAATTTAATGCGCTAGCTCCTGGATAAAAAAACGGAGCTTGATGTTCACAGATTATAAACATGGTTAAACTTAACTTCTGTAGAGAAACTAAAACAGCTGAGCTAAGAACTAATTGACCCCTACAGAATGACAGAAGGTACTCTAGAACAGACACAGCAAGGAAGACTAAGGTCAAGATAACCTACACTGAAAATGTAATTAACTTTCTCCATTGTATGAGCACTTCCAACTAGACATTCTAACGAAAAAACCTTAATCCCTCCATGCCACCAAATAACTACAACATTCTAAATTATTTAGTAGCAGCTTAATTAACCTTTTTCACTCTTTCCTAGATTGCTGAATGTTTGAATTCTCTTAAGCAAGCAAGCACTAAGAAAAAAAATCAAATATAACCATAATCAGTTTGAGAAGACATTTTAAAGAATAAATGTGTGCTCTGCTCTGCTTTAGATATGATTGATTCCCTGTAGGATGAGTAATATATACACTCAATTTGGTTAGCTAAAATTAAAAAGGAGGCTAGTATGCAAACATCTCGTTAGCCCATAACATGGCTAATTTTATGTATCAGTCTGGTTCTTGATAACAGTATCCAATCCCAGGAAAGGAAAAAAAAGTTCTCTCTTTGCTCACAGGGCAAAAGTTTAGGCCCTACACAAATTTTGAAGTAAGTAAGTACACCTCTCACCGAGAATCCGTAACTTCCTAATTCTGCATTCAAAAGTCTCCCTTCTTCAATAAAACTTATTCTGGGAGTCAGAAAAACAATAAACTCATTGAGCTTAGTTGCATTAAAGAATGAATAAATGAGAGCCCCTAAACCTTGCATGAGACAAAGGACTGTAAACAGTATAATGGTGGAAAAATTCTGATTTTCAAAAAAATATATATATATATTCCCATTAAGCTCTATATTAATAGATGTAGCTGTTTTATTTTACACTGATACAGGAATAAACACATTAGTGAATACTCAAAACTTTAGAGTAAATGAATAATTAATTTTGCTTTTATCTCACATATAGAAAACTTGCATTCTAGTTTCATTCTATCGGTAACGACTTTAAACAAGATACTGGTTCTCTCAAGCTTTAGTTTCATTATAAAATATAAAATTAGGTGAGATGGGGATTAGAGAGGATGATTAGATAATAAGTCTCATGAATTCCACAATTCTGTCTTTATTTACCTCTGTATCCCAGTGTCTAAGAAAGTGGGGAAAGCGCATTCAAGTATCTATTGAATGAAGTTTCTTTCAGCCCTGATTCTATAATTTTTGATCATTTCCTGAAATTTTATTTGATTTCTAGATATATAGTATACAGTTTAACAAGTAAATTTCAGATATACCTTCTCTACACTGAGCTCGCTTGGTTACCAGTAAAGCCCTTTCAAAACTAGGACACTTCTACAATCTATACCTTTCCACACAGGTGCTCTGTATGACTGATATTATTTATTCCCTGGATGCCAGCTTTTAAAAAAAAATAAGATTTGATCAAAGACAAAATGCCAGAAGCTATACAATTTCACATTCCTCTGAGGTGTAATTTTGCCATTTAATTTTATTATGATACTTAAACACTATTAGAAGCACCTGAAACAATCAGGCTAATCTATTTACAATCCAAAAATGTATCCCAAATTCAAATACAATGTATCGTGTTATTAACTAATGTATATGCCCAATCTCTAGCATTAATGATTCAGTGCTGTATACATTTATTTAACACCCTGCACACCTAAACAGGGGAGCCTAAGGACAGTGAACAGTCTTGGTGACTGCAGAGTATAAGGTACTGAGTATCAGCTTAAACTTGAGGTACTGAAACGTGAACAGTTCAAGCCCTGAAAGGTGGAGAGGGCTAGATTCACCTGCATCTCCATCCACAAATGAAGCCATTCCTGCAGCTTGTGGTTGTGTTATGCAAAACATCTGCCTCACTCAAGGCTTTTAACAACTAAATGGCATACTGCCATTAACCAGAGTTCAAAGTACCCAGGCACTAGCAACAGGAGCAAGCACCCTATGACAAGGCTCTGTAAAAGTGAGGAAATCCCCATTCATGACTATTCCAACTATATCTCCCTCCCAGTGCTACAACTATTGATTGGTCATAGAATCTTTATACCAGAGCTGAACCATAGCTGAAAAACTGAACTAAGCATGGGGTTACTTGGGACACTTTAACCAAGGGATTAACCTAGATCCCCCAGGACACACACCCAACTTGGATACCTGCAGCACCTTAGAAGGCTCGAACTCTTGGAACTTGTTAGTAGCAACCTCTTGGTATTCCACTCCAGGCTCCTATCTAGAAGAGATGGACAACCTGTTAGAATTACACAGTCACCTGAGATTGAATAGGGAAGAAATACAAATCCTGAACAAACTATCACAAGAAAGGAAATTGAAATAGTAATCAAAACTCTCCCAAAATAACAAAAGCCCAGGACCCAGTGGATTCACAAGTGAATTCTACCAAATCTTCAAAGAATAAATAATACATATCCTTCTCAAGCTCTTCCAAAATATTGAAAAAGAAACACTTCCAAACACATGTTATGAGGCCAACATTATTCTAATACCAAAACAAACAAATACAAGACAAAAAAAAGACTAATTTCCCTATGAACACAAACACAAAAATTCTCAATGTAATACTAGTAAACCAAATCTAACAATGCATTAAAAGGATCACACACCATGACCAAGTGGGATTCATACCAGGGCCACAAGGGTGGTTTAACATCTGAAAATCAATGTAATTCATTACAACAACAGAAAGATAAAAACCATAATATTGTGTCATAGATGCTGAGAAAGCTTTTGATAAGATCTTACATTCATTTATGATGAAAACACTTGAAAATCGGGATTAACAGCCATTTACAACAAACCCAAAGCTGCTACTGTTCTCAACAGTGAAAAACTGAAAGCTTTCCCACTCAGATCTAACAAGGTACATGACAAGGAAGTCCACTTTCACCACTGCTACTCAACAAGTTCTAGATAGAGCAATTACACAAGAGAAAGATATAAAAGGAATCCAAATTGGGAAAGAAGAAGTAAAACTAACATTATTTGCAGATGACATAATATACACAGAGAACCCTCAAAACTCCATGGAAAACCTAATCAAAGCAATCAGTTTAGTTTAGAAATCAGATTAACAAGTGACAGTGTATAAAATCAATACACAATAACCAGTGCCTTCCTATGAAGTCAATGAGATAGAAGAGGAAGAAACTGAGAAAGCAATCTCATTTGCAATCACAAAAGCAAAAAAATTAAATACCTAGGGGTAACCCTAACAAAGGCGGTAAAAGATCTATACAAAGAAAACTATAAAACATTGTTGGAAGGCACTGAAGAAAACACAAGGAAATGGAAAAACATTCTCTGCTCATAAATTGGAAGAATCAACATTGTCAAATGGTGCTGTTAGGGGGAAAGGATGTCCTGAGCAAATTCCATACAGGCTTTGTGGATGCCACCCCCATTCCATCAAGACACTGGGAACTACAAATCCCATGATCCCCAAAGGGAAGTTGTGAGGACCTAAGGGTGGAGTTAAGCAGCCATTTTCTCTGTTTGTAAATAAAACCAGCCATCTTAGTGGGGTCAGGGCTCACTTGGCTTGTGCTCTATGCCAGGCAGGTTTGGTGTCAGTGGGTCACTTGGGATTACAGGTCAGCAGAACAGGTAGGACACATTTAAGAATTTATCCCCCTCTTTTCTCCCTGAGTTGTACATTTCCTCATTCCCCTTTCCTTGTAAATAAACCTTTGGTTAACCTTTTGCGTGTGCCTGCAGTGTAAGTCCCCTTTAAGCGTGAGGGTGAGGCCCCACAGTCAGGCAACTGGTTTTAGACCAGGGTTGCCCTGTAACAATTCTACCCAAAGCAATATACAGATTCAATGCAATAAAAATATCAATGGCATTTTTCAAAGAACTGTAACAAACACTACTGAAATTCATATGGAATCACAAAAGACCCCAAACAATTGAAGCAGTACTGACAAAAAAAAAAAAAAAGAGAATGGTGGTATGACACATCCAGACTTCAAACTGTATTATAAATCCAAAATAATCAAAACAGTATAGGGGCCTCCCTGGTGGCGCAGGGGTTAAAGTCTCAGTACTGTCAAGTTCTCCCCAGCCACTGTGCCAGGAGTTCAATCCCCTGCCAGGGAGCTAACCCACATAGCAAAGCAGAGCTCTCTTGTCTCGCCCACTGCTCCCCTTAGCAGTGTATTTCAGTCAATCCACCTGTTCTGTTCCCCATTCTGTCTCTGGTGAATTCTCTCACCCCCACACCTCTGGCTAAACCTCAGTTCTTGTGTGCATAAATAAATAAATCTTTAAAAAAAAAAAAACAACCAACAGTATGGTACTAGAACAAAAATAGACACACAGGCCAATGGAATAGAATTGAAAGTCCAGAAATAAATGCATACCTATATGGACAGCTAATCTACCACAAAGGGGCCAAGAACATACACTGGAACAAGACTAGCCTCTTCAATAACTGTTGTTGGGAAAACTGGACAGTAGCACACAAAAGAATGAAACTAGACCATTATCTCACACCAAACACAAACATCAATTCAAAGTGAATGAAAGTCTTGGATGTAAGACCTGAAACCATAAAGTACACAGAAGAAAACAGGCAACACACTTCAGTGTTTCAGACATGACTTCAGTGATGTCTTTAGGAATTCATCCCCAATAGCAAGGAAAACAAAAGAGAACATAATTGGTACTACATCAAACCAAAAAGCTTCCCCACAGTGAAAGAAACTAACTAAAATGAAGACATTTTACCTGAATGGGAGAAAATATTTGCACACCATTCATCTGACAAGGAACTGATAGTGACAATCTACAAAGAACTTACTACTCAACAAAAAGAAAAGAAGTAACTCAATCAAAAAATGGACAGAAGATCTAAACAGACACTTCTCCAAAGAAGATACACAGACTACAGACAGACACATGAAGAAATGTTCATTATCACTTATCATCAGGGAAATGCAAATCAAGAGCACAATGTGATACCATCTCTCAACTGTGAGAATAGTCCATATTGAAAAGAAACAAGTGCTGGTGAGGATGTGGAGAAAAGGGAACTCTCCTATACTGCTGGTGGGAATACAGAATGGTCCAGCCCTTATGGAAAGGAGCACAGAAGAGTCTCAAAACATTAAACATGGAGCTGCCATAAGACCCAGTAACTCCACTGCTGGGAGCCATACTACTCATGTCGTCTGACAAAGGTCCGGGCATTGGGCAGATTTCTGAAAAGTCAGGAATCTCGTTAGCTAACTACTAGATTCTCCTCATTTGTTTATGGCTAGTTTCTACCATTGTTAATTACGCATCTAAAAGTAAAACTGCAAATACTGTGTAATCAATTACTGAACAGCCAATTTGATGACAAATGGCACTGTGTGATACAAATATTACATTTTTTATAAAATTAGTAGTTCTCTGCCAAAAGGCAGTAATTCAACATTCGGCCTTACATTAACAAAGTGAAAAAACTTCTGGAAACAAAAAGCTGTAAACATCTCTCGGCCAAAGTCTTTAAGAAAATTCCTATTTTGGGCGTCCCCGGTGGCACAGCGGTTGAGCGCTGGGTTGCGAAGCTGCCCAAGGCCCCTGCAGCGCAGGTTCGATCCCCGGCTGCTCCCCGGCCACCGGAGGAGGGTCCCGCATGGCGCGCAGACCTCTCCTGCCGCCCGCTGCTCCCCTCAGCAGTGTACTTGGGTCCTTCTGCCTGCTCTGCTCCCTGCTCTGGCTCTGGTGAATTCTCTCACCCTCCCGTGCTTCTGACTGTACCTAGTGTGCTTGTATAAATAAATAAATCTTAAAAAAAAAAATGAACAATGATGTAAAAAAAAAAAAAGAAAAAGAAAAAAAAATTCCTATTTAGCCAGGAGACCCATAGCCAGGTCCTGCTAAATTTTTCCTGTTTGTTTAGGGCTAATTCCCCTGGATGTAACAATTGATATGGTAGCTGTTAGACTATGCATTCGAGAATAAGTCAACAACAATTTTGTTACTGGTTAAGTTAATAAACATGGCAGCACAAATAATGCATTTGAAAATAGTCAATGTTACAACTACTGATATGTCACATATTAAACATTTCGAAAACCAAAAGCTATAACCATCTCCGACCCTGCCCCTGATGAAATATTTGTAGTTCCTTAAAACAATAACCAGCAATCTTATGGAAAAAGAAATTGTCCCTTGATCTTCAAGTTAGATATGGAAACTAGGCTGACTAGATAAGTAGAGGAGTGATAGGTAGAAAACTCTTGTTAGATTAGGAAAGTTCCTCCCTTAATTGAGAGCAGGGGCTAGGGAAGAGTCAGTGCGGCTTGCCTGGCATTAACGCCCTCCAGGCCCTTGGATCCTTAATATCGAATCAATATTAAAACAATATACTATAGATGATGATTTCTATATAAAAGCCTTCTATTTGCTTTAATCATTTGGTTATATGTTAGTCTAAACTTTATAGGTTAGTTAGAAAATATCCCTTTGTCTGCCTTCTCCCAGGTTACTTTCTGCCCTTTGTTTCCCCTAGCCCTTAGTTAATCGTTCACCATGGCAAACTTAGAAATGTTAGTTGCAGTCACATAGGCTTTTTGCTAGTAATATAATAACTGTTGGGTTGTTTAAAGTAAATAACTATTTTAAAAACATTTGTTTAGGGCCTCCCCGGTGGCGCAGCGGTTGAGCGCTGGGTTGCGAAGCTGCCCGCGGCCTCTGCGGCGCCGGTTCGATCCCCGGCTGCTCCCCGGCCACTGGAGGAGGGTCCCACGTGGCGCGCAGACCTCTCCTGCCGCCCGCTGCTCCCCTCAGCAGTGTACTTCGGTCCTTCTGTCTGCTCTGCTCCCCGCTCTGGCTCTGGTGAATTCTCTCACCCTCCTGCGCTTCTGACTGTACCCAGTGCATGTGTAAACAAAACAAACAAACAAACCAGCAAACAAATAAATAAAGCATGCCTCTATCAAAAAAAAAAAAAAAAAAAAAAAAAAAAAAACATTTGTTTAACAACTGTGCCTTCTTTAAGACAAAGAATAATAAATGTCATAACCTCTGCAGGATGGCAAACAGACCTTTGGCTGCTCTTGAAAAACATGTGATGATTGTTATCTTCTAGCTTAATGTATATGCTTATGCACTCACGATTTGCTTAGTATAAATAAAGGACTGCTGAGGCCCTCAGCAGGATGATGTCAGCACCCTGATCAAGTGTTTGCATCTCCTCATTTCCCCTCCCTTATCATTCTCTACAAT